TTTTATTTAACTTTATTTATTTATATTAATTTGACCAGAGACAGACACAGAGAGAGAGAGAGAGAGGGAGAGGGAAAGGGAAAGTGAGAAAGCAAACCGCCAGGTCTGAGGCTCAAACCGCAGTCAGGGGGAGTCCAGTGCCCTTAACCACCATGCCACCTGCCGGCCCCAGACGTCTTTCTTTTCTTTTTCGTTTTTCCATTCTTTTGGGGGGGAGAGATTTTTGCTATAGAGTGTTGCACTTGGAGAGAGAGACGGAGAAAGAGAAAGTGAGGAAGCACTCACTCGGGGGCTGGCCACATCGCAGTCCCTTCTACTCCAGTCTCTGCTCATGAGTTTCAAGCTGCTGGGTCCAGGCCTCAAACATGTCACCACCTGCTGGCCTCAGGCATCTTTCTAGAAGTAAAAGCTGAGCCACTCGTGCCAACAGGCTATGCCACCGCCCCACTCTGGCTTAGCTGCTGTGCAGAGTAGGACCCGGGGTCTGCTCGAGGGGTGGGCTGCCTGTTCAGCAGAGCCCCTGGTCAGGGTCACATGTACACGTACTGCTGCAGGCCTCGTGCTCTGCGGGCAGAGCCTGCCTTCTTATACCACAGAGTGATGAGTGGGGGTGGGGGGGCAGGGAGTGTACATAAACATACCTATGGCATGGTGGCTAAGGGTCCTGGGTTCCCACATGGCTGACTATGGTTTGAATCCTGAACCTGGTCGCTTGTCAAATTAAAATAATAAACAACGGCAACAACAATGATAATAATAATAAATAAAGCTGAATAAAATTCTTTAAAAAAAATAAGAAAGACACCTGCTATGGTTGTGTCCCTTCAAAAAGCATGTGTTGAGATTTGGCTATGAAACTATTAAAGAAAACTTAATACCTTTGTGGTGTTGAAAGGTGGTCCCTTTGGGACCAGCAGATGGCATAATGGTTACATCACTGGACTCCCACATAGTTGACCATGGTTCAAGTCCTGGACCCGGCAGCTTAAAACTCAAGCCGTGGGCGTGCATGCCCAAAATCCTGAGAGGAGAAGAGATTATGTCGTGTCCACCCCCCTGGGGGTGATTTCTCATTTTCTATCTCTCTGTCTCTGTTTCTCCAGCTAGTGCACACACCCTATAGCAAATATCTCTAAAAAAAGAAAGAAAAAAAGGAAGAAAGAAAGTAAGAAAGAAAGAAAGGAAGGAAGGAAGGCGAGGCCTTTGCAAAGAGATTAGGATTAAGGCCGTGGAGTTGGGTTGACTCCTGGTGTGTAGAGAAGAGCAAGTGAGACCAGAACCGAGACACAAGGTGGACACAGCCCCCTGCTCTGCTCTTGTTCTTGTGACTCTGAGATTCCCACCAGAGATGGCCAGGATCTCGACCTCCAGTCTGTGAGCTGAAAAAAACGCAGCCTTCAAATGACTCAGATTCTGGTGTTTTCTGTCATCAGCAATAGGCCAGGCTAACGCCATGCCCGAGATCAACCACGAATGAATGAATGACTGTCCTACATCTAACTGCTTCCCTGCCGGGTTCACAGGCCTGTGACCTACCCACCTGCTTGTCCAGTGGGGTGTCGGGAGGTTCTTGCTAAGGAGCTGGACTCAGGGGCCATTAGCACCCACTTCTCCCCAGGCACACGATGATCTGAGATCCTGTGATAAGATATTTTACTAAGCTGGCTTCCAAACTCCATTAAGGCCTTATTTGTTTTAAGGTGATCCAATAAAATTGCAAAGGCCCCTTGGATCACTTTGTGTAAAACCCTTATTTAGAGGATCCTGACTCCTTGAAAGATGTCAGCTTATGGCCTAAGACACGCCAATTTTATTACCTCTGGGGCTCCAAGTTTAATTCTGAAGTATTAGCCCAAGAATCACATAATAACCAAAACGGGCTGGATGATGCTGCAGTGGTAAGACATGACACCCTGAGGGGCAGACCCACATGGGAAGGTTCTTGGTTCAAGTCTGGAGACCTCTGAGTTTGCTGGGCATGCGTGTGTCCATGATCTGGGGCTGGGGTGGATCACAGGACCAAGGTCCTGTCGGGGTGTTTCATCTCTCTCTCTCTCTCATAGTTTGAACTAAATATAATTTTTTACAGATTTATTTTGTTTACCTTTATTTATTTTAATTTGACCAGAGAAGGACAGAATAAGAGAGAGAGAGAGAGAGAGAGAGAAAGCAAGTCGCCACGTCTGGGACTTGAACTGCAGCTGGCCATGTGGGAGTCCATGCCACCTGCTGGCTCCAAGACTAAATGTAATTTTTTAAGGGGTTTTTGCCTTAGGGCATGTGTACTTGTAGGGGGTGGGAAGGAGATGGTGAGAGGGAGAGTGAGAAATTACCTCCCCCCATGATGGCCATGCCACAGTCCCTTCTCTTCCGCTTTCCTTCCAGGATCTTGAGCATAGGATCTTCCTCATAGGAGAGGGGGCGGCCGTGGGCCAAACGTGCTGAGGCACGTGTGGACACAACCTGCCTGTGCCCAGCCCCAGCAGGACCGGTGAGCGAAGGCTGGAGGCTCAGGGTAAGCCTCATGCACCCCGAAGGCTCCCTGCTGGAGGAGCGCTGGCACGGGCCAGGAACCGAGGCCAGTTTGGAGGTGGAGAGGGGCCTGTGTGGGCCCTACCAGACCGGGAGGGGCGCGGACTGGGCAGGTCTCGAGTCCTAGGTGAAGGACTAACACTGACACTTCCCAAGTCGGCTTCTTGGGGCTCCTGAAGCCGGCCAGGAAGGTGGAAGGGCCAGGGGAGGCCTGTGGGCCACCTTTCCTGCTGCTGGCCGATGTGCAAGCGCTGCTTGGCCAAGAGGCCCTGGGGCAACCCCTGGCTGTGAAACCAGCTTGCAAGAAGCCCACTTCTCCTTCCTCCTCCCAAGGCGAGTGCGCAACCATGGCATTCACCCTGGCCACCGCCTTCCAGCGTGTCCTTTTTGTTTTTGGAGAGGTTTTTTTCGCTATAGGGCGCGTGCGCTCCCCAGACAGACAGAGAGAGACAGAGAGATAGAAAGCGAGAAATCACCCCACAGGGGGGATGGCCACGCCACAATCCCTTCTCCTCCATTCTCCTCTCGGGATCTTGGGCACGCACGCACACACGCCCGGTGTGAGTTTAAGCCACCAGGTCCGGGACTCGAACCGCGGTTGACTACGTGGGAGTCCAGTGACATAGCCATTACGCTAACTGCTGGTCCCATTTAAAGAGATTTTTGCTATAGGTGTGTATGCTTGCTGGAGAGACAGAAATCATCCCTGCGGGGATTGTCACGCCGCAATCCCTTCTCCATTCTCTTCCTGGGATTTTGGGCACATGTGCACACGCATCTGGCATGAGTTTTAAGCCACCATGTCTGGGGCTCAAACTGCAGTCAGCTACATGACAGTCCAGTGATGTAACCATTACATCATCTGCTGGCCCCCCAGGGTGTCCTGTCTGAGCCCCAAGCTGAGGCCAGGGTGATCACAGAGGAGCTGGGGTCAGAATTTGCCGCATGGACTCGGAGCCCTCTATGGCTCTGGCCCCATCAGCTCTCCTCGCCATGTTTTCCTGCTTGCCCAGCACAGCCGTCCAGGCCTGCTGTCTCACTCCAAGCACCAGACGGGGGGCCCCTCCTCAGCCTGAGCACAAGAAGGGGGGCCCCTCTTCAACCTGAGCACAAGAAGGGGGGCCCCTCCTCAGCCTGGGCATCGGATGGGGAGTTGCTGGAGCTCAAATCAGAGACCTGGAGGCTGTGGGAGCAAAGAGGAGGAGCACCGAGTCTGGTGGGGCCCAGAGAAAGCTCCTCTAGCGGGCAGGGCGAGTCGCACAGGCTTGGCGGAGGGTTGGGAGACTCGGGGAAGCTTGAACACCCCTAGATGACTGGGCAAAGGTGGCAGGCTGGCCCCCAGTGCGCCAGGTTGCAGTGAGGACGGTGCGGACTCCTGACAGCAGGGGTGACACGGCCAGAGCCCCTGGACAAGGGTGTGAAGGATGGCCTATATCTGGAGCCCCGACATGTGGGGTGGGTATTGTGGGGGCACTGCATGGGCATGAAGATGGGGCTGGAACTGTGGCAGGGTGGGGGGCCCCTTCCTCCAGGGTGTCCCCAGGAGGAAGCAGGAGCAGGCAGGGTGCTTCCCAGGCTTCCAGTTCTGGGCTCCTCCAGCAGGCACTGACAGCAGGGCGGGCAAGCGCCTGGCAGGGACCAGGGGGGCACTCGTGGGAGTCAGACGGGGTGTCCATTCATTGTGACTGGTAACTGGAGGGCTGGCCCCAGGGAGCCCTGAGGCCTGGGAGGAGCAGCAGGCCAGGAAGATGCCCTTGGAGAGAAGCAAGGAGCCCGGGGAGGTGGGAGGGTGTGCAGGAGAGTGGTGCCAGGGTCAGCAGGGCAGTTGCAGAAGGAAGGAGGGGCCACCCGGGCCTGAGTGGGAAGGACAAGCTGGACAGGGGCCGCTGGGCCCAGTGAGGGCTGGCCAGCTGCTGCAGCCTTGCATGTGAGATGAGGAAAGTGGGTCCCAGATGTGGATGGCTTTGCCCGGGCTGGCTGGGGAGAAGCCAGAGGCTGTCGGGAGTGATGGAGCACAGCTCTGGACTGGCTGAGAGCTCAGTTCGGGGCACACGGAGGAGGGCTTTGAACTGGAGGCAACTCCTCACTCGGGTGGGGGAGTCTCCGGCAGGGCGTGCTGCTGTTCTCCACTGCTCAGTGCTAACAAGCACCTGCTGGGTGCTGGCAGTGCCTAGCTCTCTAGCAGCGAGTGGTAGACCTGTTGTCCTGGATGCCAAGGGGTGGAGGGATGCGGGCCGGGCATCAGGGCTCTCATCTCTTGGGGGACTCAACCCTCCTGAGCAAGCCTGGCTGTGCCTGTCCTCTCTGGGCCCAGGAGCACCAAGGTATCGTCAGGGAGATGGAGAAATTCTTCCTTCATCTTGCACACAGGCCGGCCTCTCCGCTGCCCAGCAAGCCCGTGAGGCAACAGCAGGGGCTGAGGCAAGCTCGCCACGGGTGGGGACAAGCAGCCCCTGGCAGGGCCTTTGCATCAGACTCCGCTGGGCATAAAGGAGGCTCCTATGGGCTAGAGGGAGGCAGACGCGGGGACCATGGAGACCCAGAAGGCTAGCCTCTCCCTGGGGCTGTGGTCACTGCTGCTGCTGGGCCTAGTGATGCCTCCAGCCAGTGGCCAGACCCTCAGCTACCGGGAGGCTGTGCTCCGTGCGGTGGACAACTACAACCAGCAGTCCTCCGAGGCCAACCTCTACCGCCTCCTGGACCTGGACCAGCCACCCACGGAGGTGAGCCGGGCTCTGCTCTTTGGGCCAGGCTGCACTGCATCCCACCTCTGCCAGGGGGTCCCCTTGAGCCGTGTCCCCCAGCAAGAGCTTCCTGCCCCAGAATCCCTGCTCTGGCGAAGGTGCTCGCCCCCTCCCTGTGCAGGTTCCAGTGACTTCCGGGAGCTCCGGGAACAAGAGTGGGGTATTGGCTCTGGGGAGTGACTTAAAGGCTCCCTGGAAGGCCCTGGTGGGAAGGGCTCTGCCCAGCCTCAGGGTTCAGGGTGCAGGTCTCATCCTCCAGGACCTCCAGGTGCCCCCACCCCCGTGCCAGCAGGGCGAGCTGCTCACTGGTGCATGTATGAGGTCTGCTCCTCTCACTGCCCCGTCTGGGGGGCTGGGCACCCAAACCGGGCCCAGTGCCAGCCCAGGTCTGCGGCCGCTGTGCAAAGCTGCTTTGTGAGGTGGCAGGGGTCAGATCAGAACAGGCAGGAACGGGCCCAAGCCCAGCCTTCCACTTCCTCCCATGGCTAGGATGAGGACCCAGACACCCCAAAGCCTGTGAGCTTCACGGTGAAGGAGACCGTGTGCGCCAAGACGACGCGGAGGCCCCCGGAGCAGTGCGACTTCAAGAAGAACGGGGTGAGGCTGGGCACAGTGACACCGGGCCCCCCGAGAACATTCCCAGCCACCGGGGTGACGGCTGGAGGTTATGGCAAAAGTTCCAGTCTGACCTTGAACTTCTTTCCAGTTGGAGAAGCAGTGCATGGGGATTGTCATCCTGGACCAGGCCGGGGGCAGCTCCGACATCAGCTGCACTGCGGTGAGTGGCAGCTCTGGGCTGCAGGGGCCGACGGGGTGGAGTGTGGACCATCCTAGGGGCCCTGGACCCCTGCCCAACAGGGCAGAGAAGGCCCCTCCTCCCTGGGCTCCTCCCTCCACTCCGGCCCCATCTCCAGGGCCAGCTGCGATCCCTCCATCCCTCCCTCGAACTGTGGTTCTCCGCGTGGTCCTCCCCTGGGTACTTGCTAGAAATGCGGATTTCCAGGCCCCACTCAGAGCTGCTAGAGCAGAGGCTGGGGTGGGGCAGGGATTTGCACTTTCACAAGCCCTCGGGTGGTTCTGACTCCTGCTCCAGTTGCAGAGCCCCTGGCAGAGAACGGGGCTGCAGAGGTGTTCCAAGCCCCCGGCAGTGAGAGCCTGGGGAGCGGCCGCCCCTGCTCCCCGCCTCGGTTTTCTCATCTTTCCCAGTAGGATGTAAGGATCCACAGGAGCTCCAAGGTTCCCAGCCAGAGGGTGCACCAGGTGCCCAGGGCTCTGGGCGGCCAGTGGGGAGGGGTCTCAGAACCACCCTGGCTGGGTATGGCCCTCACAAGGAGCTTGCTTCCCCCCGCTGCACAGATCGGGCGCGCCAAGAGCACCAAGCTGACTGGGCTCCTCCGAAGAGGTGGTGAGAAGCTTGCGGAGAAGTTTGAGAAAATTGGCCAGAAAATCAAGAATTTTTTTCGGAAGCTCTTACCAGAGACAGAGTCCTAGGGTCTGCCCAGCCATGGCTCAGACTTCTGGACTCTGAAAAATAAACTCTATGAAAGCAACTGCCTCAAGGCCTCAATCTCACTTGTCTCTTTGTCTCCGAGTGTGTGCGTGCGTGTGTGTGTGCGTGTGTGTGCATGTGCACGTGTGAGACTTGGAGTGGCTGGGCGTGGCTGTGCCACCCCGGAGGCACGGGGGAGGCAGCAGGGCCAGAGATCTTAGGTTCCCTCTGCAGGCCCTTTGCACACCTCACACCACCGCGCTCCTCAGCCCGACGCCCAGCAGAGGCTGAAGATGTGTCCTGTGTGCAGCGGCGCTGAGGAAGCTGGGAGTTGTTCCCGCTCACGGGGGTGGCATTCGTGGGAGGCACCAGGCATTCTGTCAGCACGCACAGGGACAGTCTGGTCTCCCCTCAGCTGGCTGACTGGGTCTGCCAACATGAAATCAAAATGCAGAGCAGGCTGGCTATTCCAGAGAAGCTGGATCCAGCAGGTGGCCATGGTTCGAATCCCCAGCCAGGTTGGCCTGAGCCATGCTCAACACGCATGGGAATGCCCAGGATCCCGTGGACTGGAAGAGAGGGACCATGGCATCCTCACCCTGTGGAGGGTGCTCGTGGTGTGCGTGTGGAGTGTCTGTGTGGTGTGTGTATGTGTGTATATGTGTGGAGTGTCTGTGTGGTATGTGTATGTGTGTATGTGTGTGGAGTGTCTATGTGATGTGTGTGTATGTGGTGTGTGTGGAGTGTCTGTGTGGTGTGTGTGTGTGGGGTGGAGTGTCTGTGTGTGTGTGTGTGTGTGTGGTATATGGTGTGTGTGTATGTGTGTATGTATGTACGTGTGTGTGGAGTGTCTGTGTGTGTGTGGTGTGTGTGTGTGGAGTGTTTGTGTGATGTGTATGTGTGTGGTGTGTGTGTGCATGTGTGTCTATATGTGTGGAGTGTCTGTGTGGTCTGTGTGTGTGTGGTGGGGTGTCTGTGTGTGGTATATGGTGTGTGTGAT